TATAAAACCACCTTTTAAGAACATTTTAGTGAAAGTTTCATGTTCCTATCTCATAGAATTTAAGAACAAAGATGAATAAATCATTTTCGAGCAAAATTTAAATGGCCGGCTGAATATATTACCGCCGGAGACGCGGCCGTGGAATTTAAATGACTGCGCCAAAGGGTTAAGTATGTCAAAAGATGAATTTAGACAATGTTTTGAAAGATGGAATAAAAGACTAGACAAGCGTATTAGTGTAAGTGGAGAGTACTTTGAAGGGGATTGAAGGTTTGTGCTTAAAATTTGAATAAATAAGTTTAAAAAAAAGTAAATTCGGTTTCTTTTGGGTACCCCCTCGTATGATGTCTTAACTCTTACACCCTTATGTGAATAATTTATATTTTTTTTTTTCATTGCTAGTGGGCTGGGATTAAGTCCCTTGTACTGCGGCCACTTCTGGCCTATTGTACCGGTCCCAGATGATAGGTGAGGGTGGAGCAATTGGTGGCATGAAGATTGGCAGGGGAACCCGAAGTACTTGGAGAAAACCTGCCCAAGTGCCAATTTGTCCACCACAAATCCCGCTTGATCAAACCCGGGCAGCCGTAGTGGAAAGCCAGTGACTGACCGCTTGAGCTATGGCGCTGCCAATAATTTATGTTAGTAATACTACCAACCAGTGTTAACATACATGACGTTAGTTTTAAACATTTCCCTTTCAATGATGATAAATTTATATATGCTTGCTGCTTGATTAGTGTTAATTATTTTGATGTGTTACACTGGATGGTACTCATTAAGATTATTTTTATTCTGTTTTCTGCAGAAGTTTTGTTGATGAATTGTTATGAAGTGGCATTGTTGTCATAGTGTCAGTCAACAAATTTGATTATGAGTCCATAGGTGCAAACATCTGTACTGTGTTGCCACATCACACTCAACTTTAGTCATATCTTCTGCAAATGACTAAAATTTTTGACTCTGTTCATTAAAGAATGTCCTGGTGGAGTTAGTAGGTGTGAATATTGATACTCTAAATGGCACAACACATTCACCTTTCACCACATAAGCCTAACATGTAAAATTATACTCCAGAAAACAGTATTTGCATATGTTCTATTCTCTTCACTACAACTTCGAGACATACTTTTTTGTAAGGAAGTTTGTAAATTACACAAGGTAATATTATGGGATCTGTTAATGTTCAGTCAAGAATAAAGCAGGGATGTATTTAAAAATTTCTGACATTTAGGACTGCTTCCACTATTATTTAAACATTCACACTAAGTGCCGTATGTAACTGAATCTAAAATGGCCTTGATTCTAAAAGAAGCAGAGAAATTACATTATTAAGAGTCAACATTATTGCCCATATATAGATGGCTCTCACACTGTGGTATCAGTAAAGAACACTTTGGACGGTTATAAGACCTGTTGAATTATTAACACTTGGAACTGTATTCAAATAACCTGTGTGGAGGCGGGGTTGAATACCTCCACCATGACCCTGCGAGTCGTAGGAGGTGACAAAAAAGGAAGTCTCAAATCTGAGACAGTAAAATATGGTCACAAGTCCCAAGGGACTTGGACCTGAGAAAGGCCGCGCTGGCAAGGGCCAACAGCATATACAAAAGAGGGCACCCCACAAAAACAAGACCGTAACTGTCAAACAGTAATAAATATCTGGGGCTCGACACCAAGACTTACTGACTGACTGACCATCAGTCGCAATGTGACTTTGACTTTTGTATTCAAATATATGGTTACAGGAGCTTCTCTCTCCATGCTGTAGGGGTAGAATTTCCACCCTGATCTGAATGTGTTAAGATTATTAGAAAATCATACTGACAGTGGACTGTTGTATTTTGTTAAGCAGTAGTAGTGCTGGAACAAGTCCCAGTGAGAGTCATTTGGCGGGCAATTACAGCAGCACACCACAGTCTTTGCCAACCTTCCAGCATCCATCTCACTCACTGCTGAAGGACAACAACTTCAAGCAGGAGGTGTACAGCAAGTACTACTCCAGATGTCTTAAAGGTGGGGTTCATGTTTCAAACCACCAATTCTCACACAATTGTGTTTTGTACCCCTCGAAGCAGTTAACAGATGTCTGGACCCCACTAGGGGGTGGGGGGGGCGATTGGAAAATGCAGAACTTAATTTTTTAATTCATTTAACTGTACAGTAGTCACCATCACATACTCTTACGATGCCCACATTTTTACAATCTTGTAATTAATTTCATCTTCAAGGCATGTTGTTACCTGACATCTTTGGAGATGATCGTGGTATTTGTCCACTGTACAGGGGTTCACTATTTTAATTGTAGCTCCAGTTTGAGCCATTACATGCTTCCTAACAGAATGTGTGTTACTGCTTTTGCTGACCTATTGCACCACTGTACAGTCTCACACATCTCTGTTTTGAAGTAATTTTATAAAGAGTGATTCACCCAGAACATTATCTCAGACCCATATAGCCACAGATGCTGAACCACCTTGAACCACATGTAGAGATACATACCATAATGTCTGTCATAAGCTTATTCTGAACCAGTTCAAAGTGGAAATACACACAGATGACAGTTTTCAAAGGGAATGTTGAAATTGAGGATTTTTTTTTTTTGGGCCTCTGGAAAGCTCCTTGGGGACCAGAAGTGTTTGTTCTAATGGACCTCAGGCTTCTGTTACCGTGTTTGAGACACTGAAGATCTTGTTACTGTGTTTCAGAGCGTAAGAAGTTGGGAATTGGACAATCTCAGGAAATGAACACATTGTTCAGATTTTGGTCTTTCTTTCTGAGGGAAAATTACAACCGTAAAATGTACCAAGAATTCAAAACGCTAGCAGTAGAGGACGCCCGAGAAGGATACAGGTATCGTGATGTATCATTCACTGTACTCAAAACTGTTCTTGAAAAGGTGTACACACATGCACAAACACTCTGTTACACTTATTATTATGCATGCTATATCTTTCTCACACTCTTTATCTCATTTACAAAATTTGTATATCTCTCAATCTTAATACAAGAGATATTCATCACCATCATTGCAGTGGCCTAACTAAACTAACACCATGGAGCTGAGCCCTTCGCATGGTTGGTAAGTTCGCTTGTGGACAAGACCACGGAGTATTTTTTATGACCATAACATGTCGGAGATTTAGTAGTATCTGATCAGTAAAAAGGAAATAAATAAGCTCTACCTGGATGGCAGTTTTGCTTACTATTTTAATGTATGTCAGCAAAATGAAACCAATTAAATCATAGTTTTCTGATTGTATAGCATTTTTGTGATATCTCATATCGTGTGTATAATTTTATGCAGTTATGTAAGAGGGAGCCAACCACGAGATTTCTTCTTCCTGGTTGTGTTGCAGATCAGATCACCTGCTGAGACCTTGAAAAGATATGTTATATATTGCAGATTCCAGTTCTTAACATTAAAATAAGGGCATATGATTTTATATTTCATATTTTCTAAAAATTGCTGATTCTGAGAAAGAATATTATAAGGTTTGTTTCTTATGGAATAACACTATCCAGTTATGGGTGCTAGAAAACAGAGAAGCACCCAAAGAAATTTATTGTGTTATCCATTCTTCTTCTAGTGTTTCACTCTCATAAGGGTCCTCTTCTCTGTCAGGTATGGTCTGGAGTGCCTGTTTCGTTTCTACAGCTATGGTTTGGAGAAGAAATTCCGCCCTGAAGTGTATCAGGATTTTCAGGCTGAAACCATTGCTGACTTCGAAAGTGGTAAGGGAAAGTTAAGATATGAAACTTTCATGGTGAATAAATGTGCTAAATCTTTCAGTGTTGAGTTAAAAACCAATATTTCAGAGGTGTCCTCTGTCTTCACAATCAGAACTGATATCACCTGCTTTATGGAGGCATCATGGAGATCTCATGATAATGTTGTGATCTCGTGACACGATGGAGGTCTTTGAAACAGTGGTTTCAAACTCAACGTTGACATGACTGATCACCTAGAAAATATTAGCACATAAAGGAAGGTTAGTCTACAGGTGTTGCTGTCATTATATGTCAGATGTAAACTTAACGCAAGTTATTTTTAATACACATTATGTAAAACATAATGTAGTGCACTGTTCCTCAAAGTGAGAGCCTTGCAATGGGTTTCCCAGGGAGCTGATTCTATGCGTATATATTTAAAATTGAAATGTAACAGTGAGATGACCTTGAGTGGATGGATTTGCCAGGAATTTGATGTAAAGCCATTAGCAGACCTTGCATCCTGGAGAGCTAAAAGGAGAGTTCACAGACGGCAGTTGCGAGTATTGATTGTTAAGCTGATAACCAAATCATCTTTTTACTGGTGGCCATAGACATTTGCATTTGCACCTAGAAATTGCTGGTATTATAGAAAATGCCACATTAAATTATAATATAGCGTATATTCCAGATTATCTGTGTTAATGAAGGGGAAAAATACGTGTTTAACTGAAAAACTTAGATAAACCAAGATGATGATTCTTTTTTTATCCATGTACTTAGTTAATTAAGGATCACAGGATGACATATGGGGGAGTGGAGGTATAGCCCCACCATTCTTAACCCCAGCACTAGATTGAGGTAAGTGGTCAGCTTCATACCCCTATAGTTTTGAAATCTGGAAATCTACACAGGTACTTAGAAAACTGTGAGATCTGTAGAGAAATGCATTAAGCAAAAAATTTATTTTTCTCAGCTGTTATTGTTCGAACATGTTTTTCTTCTATAAATGGTTTGCAAGTGACTGTCAAGATTGTGCAGAAATGTGTGTAGGTCTTCATGTATAGTGGTCATTAAGCTTTACTGATCTGAATGGAAATTGACATGGCTTTACACATTTTCATAAAGTTCTCCAGTGTCAGATTTTACAAATGTCCATCCCAGGTTTTCCAGTTTCATGTGTGCAGGTGGATGGGCAGACTGAACTTAGCAGGCACTTCGTAGGGTAGTGAATGTGTTTTGAAAGGGCACACTGATGAGCTGCAAACCACAAATTGTAGACAAATAATCAAGGGAAAAAACTATATATGCATTGATAAGAATTTTTCACATTAATTTCGAACGTACAATTTAACCTTTTGAAGCATAAAATTCATTTAATAACATTTCAGTTCTAACCTTGTAGGAAACATACCACATTTCCCTTTACAAACGTGGACTGGTTACTGCTGTTTAGTGAAATAATTGCTGATTGTTGTGAGAGTTGTAAGAAAGATAAATTCTGTGCACACAGAGCAGAGTTTTTGAATGTTGAAGCAGGTGATACATATAGTAACCATATTGCTTTATAGGGTTAATGCAGAAATGATGTCTTTGATATTTCTAAAGTTCATTAGTAATTTCTATTAAATTCCTAAATCTTCTTTTCATTAGGTTTGTTGGGCAAAGGGATGGGCGCTGAACAGAAAAACTTTACATTCACATCAAGAGAGTATTAGACAGTCGGGGAACTGCCGGCATGAACAAGTTCTCATAGTATGAGATATGCTTGTCATTTTTTTTTTTTTTTGTGTAAAACAGTACAGTGGTACAGAGACAGGGTCCAGTTTCAGATTTTAGTTTGCTGAGCTTTCTGGGACCTTGATCTCCTGCACATAGACCTAATTTACTGTTCAGCACTGAGATACTGTGAATGTAGTGGAACTTGGACTGAACCGTCTCCTGTAACTATACTACCATTATTCGATGAACGACAGTATATCTGTGTAGACCTAGTCTGTATGGTAATAGGAAAAACTAGTGGCTTCTACACTAAAGGGCAAGATTATAGTCTCCTGGCATTTGATGTTGCATGGATACCAGTGTTCTGGAGGAACCCTCTAACTCCATCTTCTTCCATAAAGCTGTAGCTGGAAGGTCCTCTGCAGTGTTCATATGTATTCAACAAATTTTGCACATCCTAGAAGTTCTTGATTGTAATTTTTACTGCTGTGAGAACCTCAAATCTAAGTAAAGGTCCAAGTACTTGCATGAGGTCTAATGTCACTTCTTTTCAACCAGATAATATAGGGTGTCCAGATGAAAGGTATCCAAAATAAAAAATTTATATCTCTGAAACTAATTGTCATACACGTATCTGGCTTATGTCATCTGAAAGGAAAACTCTGAAAGTTACCCNCCCAGCCTACGCGCATATGCCGCCACATTTTTGCCACCATGTTAGGAATCACCTGGACAGAGAGATTGCTGGGATATGAATTGGCAGAGGCGGACCAGTCGCTTGGTCTCCTAGGTCGCCAGATTTAACCCCAGTGGAATTGTTTCTTTTGGGGTTATATGAAGAACATTGTCTACCAGGTTCAGATCAGTGACCTTCAACACCTGAAAGCCTGCATAAGGGATGCTGTGGCTGTGGTAACACCAAACATGCTTCAAGCCTGGATATTTGTCATGCCACCAAGGGAGCCCACATCTTAATTTATTGAGAACATTATATAAGCAGAAAAAAAACTTTGATAGTTTCTCTCTGTAATGGTGTAACCCAGATAGTTTCTCTATGTAATGGTGTAACCCATTACTCTGTATAATAAATTCTTTCTGAGATATAACGATTTTATTTCAGATACCTTTCATCTGGACATTCTCTATATGCTGTTCCTTGGAAAACAGTTTTGGTTAGGCAACATTTCAGTGTATCTGTGTGTTTCTGGATTTCATAGTTAATAATTATAGAGTTCAGATAACAATGACAGTAAGAAAGTAAAGAGTACATTTATGAAGAAACAGGGCTATATTGAATTTTCGAGAAATGCTGTTGTTCCAATGTGCTGAGTATATCCTGTGTATACAGTAGATCTGTGGTTCTCAACGTTTCAAATACAGTGCACCCCTTTCAGTTAACACAGAAACTCAGGTCTCCCTTGAAGTATTGGATAGTAATCTTATTTTAAAATTAAAAAAAAAAGATATAGTCTAATTCCAATTTGTATTTGTGAACTTAATCTTAAATCATTGAAGAATATTTTTATTTTAGAGAATTTTACATAATTAGAAAATTGTATTTACTTTATAAAGTAATGAAACATATTGAAGGATGCATGATCCAAATTCGTATCTGAGTTGACCTCAAACATTGTCAGTGTGAGCATTTATACTGTGACATGTTGCACAACGGAGGAACCCCCCCCCACCAGCAGTGACGCGGCGGGTGTGTCAGCTCTCCGTCAACCCCCCTCCGCACGATGACGTAACGCGCAACGCGCGGTGACGGAAGACGGCGTGAGGTAACAGCATTGCTAGGCTATATGCAGACACTGTTACGTGGCACGCAACGACGCTGTTGACGCGGGCAACAGGCAACAGCGAACGGAATAAAAGCCGGCAGAGCAGTAAGCGTGAGTTAGTTGTAACGTGGCCGTCGGCAAGTTCAGTAGTAGTCGAGCCAGTGTGTGATCAACAGTTTTCCAGTCAGCAGTGAACGAGTAAAAGTGTGATAATCAGTGACAGTTTGTGATAACTGAGAATTAATTGGGAGTGTGTAACACAGTGACACTTGTATAGCTCCCGTACTGTGAAACGTATAGTCTACTGACAATAGAGTGATTTGATTTGCGAATAGGGTTATAAAGTGTGAAACTCCGCAACAGCGTGAACAGATTATTGCGAATAGGGTTATAAAGTGTGAAACCCCGCAACAGCATGAACAGATTATTGCGAATAGGGTTATAAAGTGTGAAACCCCTCAACTGTGTGATAATTAATTGTAGCCCTTACTTGTAGGTTGTTGAATAAACCAGTTAACAATCCGAACGGCGTCTTCAGTAACGAAACACGTTACAATACTACATACGAGGGTTAGAAATTTAATAGTGGCAACTATTTATTTACAACTGATACAAAATAGATGCATGTTTCAAAGATTTACTGTCGTTCAGTGTGGTCACCAGCATTGTGAATAACCCGTTGCCAGCGATGTGGAAGTCTTAGAATACCTTTAGCAGCACCTGTTGTGTTGATAGTTCGATTGCAGTGGTCTACTGCCTGAAGAATCCCTGGAACAGTTCCAAAGCAAATGCCATGAAGTGGTTCCTTCATCTTAGGAATTGAAGTCGAAGTCACAAGGGCTTAGGTCCGGGGATTATGGCGGATGGTACAGCACCTCCAGCCCCGTTGATCGAACAAATCAGCCACAGCTTGCCATTTCTGCATTTCTGTCAAATCTTGCAGAACCCATCGTGATGCAATTTTTCCGATGCCCAGATGTTCCTTCAGAATGTGAAGCACAGTCGTATGTGCTAATCCTGTCTCTCGAGCCAGCTCACAAATCGTATGGCGTCGATCGCTCTCCAGTAACGCAGAAAGAGCATACACTTCTTTTTCACTGATGTGGGAAGGGAGAGTCCATTTGCTCTGAGGTAAGGTAGGTATGTAACTAACGTGTGGTATAAGCGACATTATTTGGTTCCATTGCTTGGCGTCTCTACAGCAGTGTTGCCACTATTAAAGTTCCAACCCTCGTATTTGCCACCAGTTTTGAGACTCTTGACTCTGTGGAACAAAGGGCACATTGTCCTCTTGCAATGTAAAACTCTGTTGTTTCCAGAGTTCAACAAGAAAAAACACAGTTTTATTCATACTCAGGGTGAAACTGTTGAGGGGTGCACCCCACCAGTTGAGAATGTATGCTGGAGAGAGTGGAGATTGTTTTACATACCTTACCATTGTCACACAGCAAATGTTAGGATATATGAATCCTAGTACAATGCTTTGCACATGCTCGTGTTCTTGTATGGTGTTATTGCCATGCTTAGTTTGATCATGTGCTACAGAAATAGGGGGATTCGCTGACACCACAAGGCTCATTGCCGAGGAGTGGAGTTTGATAGTAGACCTCCTCACAGGTGTTAAAATGTGAAATTGATGTCAGTATGAAATTTGTTATATGCTGCAAATCCACCCTTTGAGGGGCATATTATTTGAGTTAGGCTGAAAGAGATTATTTCTGTTGTGGATTTTTTGGAATGTCAAAAAACCAGAAGCTGTGTGTGTTCTGGTTCCTAGTGGTCTGAGTGGTCCACCCACCAGGAACTGAAGCTAGATCACAGAGCTTTTGCTTTACGTTACTCCAAAAAGTGGGTACCGGACAACAAAACATAGCACAACCATAATCACAGAATGCAGTGATGGCCTGGTTCTGTGAATTTCAGCATGATATTGGTTTTAATATTTTTAATAGAAATTTATGGCTCTGATTTTATATACTTATTTTTGTGTATGTGAATTGTAAAGTTTCCTCTTAATATATACATGTTCAGAGTATGGTCTCATGAAACCAAAATGTGAGGGTATTAACAACACAAGAAAGGACCCAGATATACCTATGTTGTGATATGTCTAATTTTAAGCTTTACTTTCTGAAGTGTGCAAGTGAATTGGTTGATTGGTTATATGTCATGGATTTCTGTGTGGAAGATACACATTTTAATTATACCAGTAATAGCATTTTTTTTATTCCATCCAGGTCAGTTGTACGGACTAGAGAAGTTTTGGGCATTCTTAAAGTACTACAAGCACAGTTCAAAACTCCACGTTGATCCCAAGCTGAAAGAGTGTCTCTCAGGATACAATGATGTGAAGGACTTCCGTGTAGTTATGGCAAGTTTTAATTTTGTTTACTCTTTTAAATGGATGTTTTTAATCATTGCTGTCATAGTTATAATAACTGCCTTGAATTTATTGTTTAATCCATCATGAAATCATTACTGCAGGTTCTGAATTGTTTGCGTTCATAATTGTTGAGCCATCGGTACATCTTCTGTGTGTGTGTGTGTGTGTGATTCACACAATTTTTAACATATTGTAATATGTTTAGTTACTGAAGACGCCATTCGGATTGTTAATTGGTTTATTTAACAATCTACAAGTCTCTGCTACAATTAATTACAACAATGTTATGGGTTTCCACACTTTACAAACCCTACACACAAATCTCATCCTTCTATCCTCAGTAGTCTACACTTATTCACAGTAGGGGAGCTATATAAGTGTCACTGTATCACACACTCCCAATTATTACTCGGTTATCACAAACTATCACTGATTATCACACACGCGTCCGGTTCTTCTTTCCGCGACTGCTGCTGTACTCCAACCTCCTGTCACTTCGTCTCTCTTCGGTCCAAATATTCTCCTCAACACCCTGTTACATGTTTCGGGCGCTGTTGGCCACCTCGGAAGGTGATTAACACATCCAAGGGAACACTTTACGAATATGACACGCATATGTTGCCTCAAAAGGGTTTAAAACGTTGGGATGTTTAAAACAAATTAATCTAAATTAAACTAATTAATTGAAGAAATATTGTCTGATTTTTAGTACACTAAAATGTCAAAGATATTATAAATATTTCTTATAGGAGATCAGAAATTTGTCAGTTAAAAGATGAATTACGCTTTAGAATTAAGAGTACTTACGATTACACTAACACTAATGGTACGAGCCATGTGACTGGAAGATTCAAACTTAAGACGCATGACAATTTGGTGTCAGAATTGGTTTACGAACTTGAACACGCCACACGCCACAAGTTACAAGTTAATTACGAGTTAGCCAAGCAGTCAACCATTCAGTTGTAGTCTAGCATTTGCAGTCTAGTATTTGTAATAATGGCAGTAATGTTGAGCTTGTAAATGGTGCAATTGTATGAGTGAGTGTTGAATAAAATTCACTATATCCAAGACGGCGTGAAGTTATTTGTTGCGTTATCCACCCAACACGTGACAATATTATTGAAATGGTAGAAAATACACTTGATGTATTAAGTTTTTAACGTCATGTGTGTGTGAAGTTTTGTTATTTTATTCCGTCACCACAATAGGAAATATGGACACCATGCAGTTGTCATTCCTTACATGTTTCTGCTCATTAGGTCGTCAGATATTTGACTTGTTTACTTATTGAAATACTTGTTTTTTATTAATATGTAATCCTGTTACGTATAACATGGTGCATTCATCTCTAACATTAAATATTAATTGTTAAAATATTAAGTCATTCAAATTAAAATGAAATATATATAAAAGGTTTTCTTAGTTTTTCTGAGTGTAGTAGTTTTATGTAGATGGTTTCCTTCTACGAACATTTCTTTGGGGTTCTTCCTTTCCATGTATTGATGTAGTATGTGTTTTGTTCCCTTGTGGAGAGTTTATGATGTGACAGAACTTTATAGAGGTTTCTTTGGTCCAGACATGTTACATGTTTGTGCTTTCTAAACCATTGTGTTTTATGTTGGAAATGGTGTGTTGTGCTATAGATTTAATCTTTATTTTCTAAGTTAATTGTGACCTGCATTTTTGTGGTAATCTTACATCCAGTGGGTTCTCTTGTTTCACAGCCTGGTGATGAGAACGAGTTGAGAGGTGGATTCAGAGGAGCATTTCGTCCACATGCTGTGAAACGTCGCAGCCGTAGCGTTTCAGAGAGTTACAGCATGGACGTGAGGCAGCAGTCCATCTCCGAACGACAAGCAGCACAGCAGTTTCAGAAGCGTGTACGGCGCTTGTCAGGAGGTCCCGGCCCCAGTTCCGGCCAAGGCAGATGGAGAACCGAGTCACACCCTTCTTGTATAAGCCAAGTGTCTGTCACCTCTTCAAGTCGAAGAAGATCAAATTCTTTCAATTCTGAAAGAGCTTTGGAATCAAGCAGTTCCAATTCAAAACATTCTGATTTAAAGGATGCTAACCAAAGTGCAAATAGTAAAGCAAGAGTAAATTTTGATCTTGGGGAGTCAGAACCTGGTAAGTCAAATGTCAGTAACACAAAATCTAATTCATCAGATATTAATTCAGGTTGCAAGGTACGTGAATCAAGAGATGGCACCAGTTGTTCACCAACATCTAAACCTGTTCACAAAAAAAAGGAATCCTCCAGTAGTAAAAGCAGTACTGAGAAACAAAAGAGAGTTGGGGATACTCTAAGGGATGCTACCAACAAAGAATGGGACGTAACAGAACACATTTCAGCATGAAAATGAATCTGCATTGTCTCCAGAAAGTGAGTATAAGTAGGCATGTGTGAGAGTGATTATTTCAGATCAGGACAAGAATTTGGAAATATTTGAGAGTTGAGATAAGAACAAGAATTGTCTTTACTTATCATTGTAATAACAATTTATTATATTAGCCACTTTTTCATATATTACATGTATGTTGATGTTGCTCATATTGAGACAGGAATTGGTACAGGAGTAAAGTCAAGGTGCTTCATACAGAAATATATAAGGGTGCAGTGTGGGCAGGAGGAGACAGATTTAAATAGTCTGCATGCTACCAGTGAAAGTGAAAGCAATTATATGAAGATTATCAGAGTTTGAGACTCAAAATTAATAGCTAGATTTCAAAGCAAGATCGAATTGTTTTTCTCAGTTCATTCTCAGAAATTCAATACTTGCACATGCCTGTAGATAACTTTACTTACTGTAAGGTCAAAGTGAAAAGTGAGATTTTGGCTGCATTCATAGCATTTGCAGCTACTCTAATGATTCCATATTGATTCGACATTTGTGCTTAATGAAGAAAGGCTGATTATTTCTGAAAACTGTACAGTTTTCTTCTGTTCTTTTTACAGACAGTCGTGCCATAATAGAATATGATTTGGCATAATTGTTTTCTTGGTGCCTTATCTGAGGCATCCGGATTATGGATGGAATGCGATCAGTAATTTTGAAAGCCAAGCATGGTTACTTCCAGATAAGTTGGGTAGGGGAGTGACATTTTGGAAATATAAGCTTTGGGTTCTGAAGTCAGTATAAAATGCAAATTTCGTTTTGTGAGTCTTCCAATACAGAAAACAGCAGGGATTCCCAGGGTGCCCCGACATTGTTGTTACATAAATCGTTTTTATTTAAGTAAAAATGTTTACATAATAGTGACTTCATAAAACATAACATGTGCTTCAGTGCATTTTTTATTACTCCAGCCATTGGTTTGTTATTTGTACTGATTGCTTTCTCAATTGAATTTTAAATGAATCAGTCATTTCTAAAAGGCCTTGGATCCAAAGAGATTAACTTGAGAAAAATGTAGTAAAATATGCTCCTGTGTAAGTACTGTGTGTTTCTTTTGCAGTTTGGAATTGCATGTTAAAACATCTCTTACTACATTTTCTCAGTTTTAATCTACTTTCTTTCTGTCATGGAAAAAAGTACGCATAGAATAAATAGGTTAGTTTTCACAAAGTTTGACATGATTTCATTCTGCCTCAGTTTTGTACTTACACGAATTCCAAGTAACAGTGATGATGATGATGATTATGAGGAGGAGGAAGAAGAAGAAGAGGAGGAAGAAGGTACTGCTGCTGCTGGTGATAGTGATCTATAACATAGCCAGTTGGGTGAACTAGAGTTGCTCATATGGGTGTCTGCACACAAGTCCAGCAAACTAACATATGAGCTAAACTGCATTTTGTTGTTTGAGCATGAACTAACATTACTCAAATTTAACATTAGGAATACAAGATTTGTAGGACTGAAAGTGTGTGCTGTAGTTGTGTGGACATGGTGAGTTCTCCCTAGAACTTCATGTAGGTTTGGGAAGATTGAATAGTTTTGACCATGGATCAGACATCTTGATGTCATGATGATTTTGACAGCCAAATTTGTCAAATGGGCAATGATAGTACAGTGTTGTCCTGTGTTACAAGTTGATGATGAAATAATAGGCTTAGAATGCTGCAGAAATAGTCTTCTAAGATGTTACTTTGCATTGGTCAGTAATGACCTGGTCAGGAAGCTGTGGGGGGTGGTAATGCTTTTGGGTGGGGGTAGATGTCTTGATCATAGATCGGTGGATGAGTGGCAGAAGAAATAACTTGAGAGTGTAATCTATTGGTTAGACTATAGGCTGCACTTGTCATCTTGTGAGCTGAAGAGTGAGATTCTTCAGTGCCTTCCCGAGGTCTCCCACTCGTCCCCAGGTGGAATATTGTAATGCTGCTGGTTGGAGAATCTTATCAACAGATATAGCATTCCATGGTATGCATCTCCAGCAGAGAAGTTTGGTAGGTGAGTTAGGCTATCAACTGCATCGGTGGCTAAAAATTGCAGACATTTCAGGGACCATCTCTGTCCCCATATCAATGTCTCGTGCCGTAAGGTTCAAACTGTCCCTTCTGTAGATGGTAGATGAGACTTATATTTGTGGGAGAGTGTTCTCAGATGTTGGTTTGTCCTTCATCCATGGTCTTGTTGAAATAAAGACCAGTAATCCCTTAAGAGTTGTTGGATAGCCACTCTTGCCATGATGTTTAGCTGACTCCTGTTTCAGGCATTGCAGGTTACCCACCTGGCAGTTGAGGGCTTTGCAGTTTCAGAAAATGGGCAGGACATATTTACTTCAGTTTATCTGTCCATATTTTCATTCCATCTTCATCCCTTCATCATGGGGAACATGCATGAATATTCCATATGGAATTTTGTCTTCAGGCACAATTTTCTTTCGAATAATATGTAAGGGGAGGAAGTTTGGTGTTAGCTGAATGTGCTAAAGGAGTAGTGTAGAGGGTGTTTTTTTTTTGTGACTGGATGTTTCTGTTAAAATACTGCCCACTGTTGGTTTGTGTTTAAACCAGAGCAGTATATGTAGTCTTAGGGACACTGCACACCAGACTCCTGCTTTTGTGCAGTGTAAAGATGTGTCATGATACTCATGAGGATCATCGGTTGGCCATATTTGAAAACTGCAGGATGCAATGTGCTCATTCTGCCGTCCAGTTCCTCATCATCAGAATTCAGATTTTCTGTGAACCATTGGAGATGAGACAATTCGGTGGCAGCAGCTTATGCGCTCGGTTTTATTTCATGTGCAAAGTTTTTTGGAGGACAGTTTTAATAAATTTGTTATAAAGGGATTTTTGTAGTGGATTCATTTGTAGACCATGTTCATTGCTATATTTAGTTTTAAGATTCTGCTCCTGTGGCTTTGTAACCCCAAGATCTTATATAACTTTCATAATGATGTTCTTTGCTGAAGACTTGTACTTATGAACTGAAATAAAAGAAAAATTTTATTATTGGGTCCATCGCAAGGTTGCATCAATGAAAACAGTGAGGGATCTCCAGTCATCATCAGTTTTTCTCTTATGTGCCTTTTTCTTGAAGTTCCTTTGTTTTGTTTCTGGTATAGTTATATCGTTTACCCTATTTAAGAAGCAGTAAGTAATACAAATAATTTGTTACCTGCAGCCTGTCATTTTACAAAGAGTAAAAATATTTTCACCAGATGGCAGCATATTCCATTACTCCCCTCTTGTGTGTGTAGTTCTAAAGAAACCTTATACATGGGTGAAAGCCTTTTGGAAGGTAATGCAGCAAAAAGCAGAAGACACAGTGAAGATGGGGCAGAATGATGGACATTTATTTAAGGAAACCCACCCATTTGGCCAAGCCTTTAAGAAATGACTGGTTCAGATGTTATTTTTATAACATTTTATAACTGGTTCAGTAGGCAGTTTAATGCCATTGAAGTGAAACAAAGTTTGAGGAAAAGTGTTTGTCAAATGTCTAAGTCTGTGTTTGTAGTTTTTTTGTATCCTTCTTCTCATCATTTTGGTTACCTTGTCATGTTTATAAGTGAAATATCCTGGATTCTGGGAAAGGAATATAGACGTGCATGATAAAAATTTGTGTATGGTGATGAATTGCTGTATCTTATGTACCTATTGCTCATATAGTCTCTGAAAAGTGACAGATTATTCAGTGAGATTGTGGAAAATATTTGATAGTCTTTGTAAGAAATGGGAGCAAGCAGTCTGCTTATCCACCTCCTTAATGAAATGAAACATTTGTGACCCCGATCTCATTATGGGAATCATGTTTGAAGGGAGGCTAATGCTTCAGTGTGTACAGATTGTTACAAAAAAAATATTAATTATGGGGCTAGTCCTTAACAAAGGATTTTCTAATGAATAGAAGTGAACTTATGTTGTATCCATTGACTTACTGAATGAGTTGCTGAAACGGCATGAGGGATTCATTCAGGTCAAGTGCTATAACCTATGTTAGGTTCAGTATTTTATCCTTTCCATGGATAAGATTGACATTTAAAACTAACACTTCGTGATATATCAATAAGAATTGAGGTCATAGCTTAGTTTAGAGTGACTTTTAGCAATGATGCCACATGTACAATTTTATGACTTTAATACTGAAATTTGGTTAAAAGGAATTAGTAATGAAGCTTAATATTCTAACATTGTGTTATTTGGGAAGGTAACGATGCATAAAGTATCATTTACCTGTGGGAAAACTCCAGAAAGTCGTATTCATATGAAAATATTTTTAGTATAGGTCATTGTGGACACATCTTAATAGTTTGCATCCTGTTGTGTGTCTCACATAAGATATAAAGCATACAAGAATATACTGTCTACACAACAACATTCTGTATTTTAAGACAAAGAAGACACTACTGTATGAACATTTGTTTTATTAAAGCTTTTATGGATGCGCCCATACAGAGTGTTGTTGTGTAGACTATATATTCTTGTATGCTTTATATCTTATTGTGGACACATTTGGCAGACTGTGTGATTGTTTTGTTTATTTTATATATATATAAATAGTCAAGCAGAGGAAGAAGATGAAGAAAGTGCTCTAGCATCTGGAGGCAGGCAACTAGTCTCATGATTTGATTTTAGTGTGGTGCAGGGTTGAGAAATTACATGCTCATTTTTTATGTACCAACATCCAGAATCAGATATGCCTTTGTGCATGTTCAGATACACTGGAACCCCATTTAATGACCTCAGTATAAGGTTTTCCTTCATTTAGCGTTCAATTTCCGTGATCGCAGCCGAGTAATCTCAGCATTAGTTACCTCAGTTTAAGATTTTCCTCAGTTCAGTGTTCAGATTCACTCCTTTCCAAAGAATCTTTAAATGGGGTATCCCTGTACTATGAAAGATTTCCTGGTGTTAATTTTGTTGCACATCTTGAAGTTAATTATCCATCACATACGTGTAATTAATATTATGATTATGTTCGCTTTTGACTTTCTGCTTAATGTACATAAGTTGAGATTGTTTCATTAAGGAATACCTTTTTAATGGGATTTTTTTTTTGTACAGAAGGTAGGAAATGGGGGACAAACTTGGTTTTGGTGGGGGGAGTTGTGTTCTCAACCAAAACATGTATTTCTGTCATTTACAGATATCGCTTGTAATAGTAGTTGGTTCTCTATGTATAAGATTGACTTTTGTGGGGTATTTTGATATTTATATAAATTAGATATGTTTCTGAATGTGTTTATTTTAGAGTAATATTTTATTGGTTGGGGGTGGACACTTTTTTCTCACTGTCACTTTATTTTGTGTGTGTGTGTATGTGTGTATGGGAAAGGGGGGAGTTTTGCATTTATTTTTTTTTTTGTGTTCACACGTACGTTGTTATATCTTGCCCTTATTTTGTACGTATTATGTATATTGTGTTTCAGACCTTTTAATGCAATAAATAACAAATGCTCAGAGATTGGTAGGAGCATATGGTCTGCTTTTATTGATGAAAAGAGTTGGCTGTAGTAATTTCCCTGAAGCTCCATTACAGCATTGTTCTGATAACAGGTTATGGTCAGAAATGTTGTTAAGACTGTTAGAAAATTGTCTGTTCCTCTCATTGTTGTATTCACATTCTTAATATGTGTTGCAGGAACTGTGGTATTTGAAAATTGGTTATGAAGAATTCTATTCTCATCAGGTATTGAATGGATATCATGAAAGATATGGTCAGTAACGCTGTGGAATTTCATTGTTCTGCCTTGTGTGTGCATTGAACCACCAAATTACAACCATGCTGAAGACCAATGAGAAATTGCAGTGTACTGCAAGCATGGATGATCAGAAAACCAGCGTATTATGACCATTTTATTATTGTACCATTTAAGTTAAAAGAGCCAGAATAGCTCAGTCAATTATATCGACAGGCTACAGCATGGATGGCTAGGACTCAATTCCCAACGGGGCAAGATTATTCTCTTTGTAGCATCCAGTCTGGCTCTGGCCCAGCATACTATCCGTTGGGTAGTAGGGTAAAGTGGAAGGGGTTTGAGGCTGACCACTCACCTTCATTTAGTTCCGCGGTCAAGGGTGGTAGAGGGATACCTTTATTCCCCTTAAGCACAGGGACACCCTCTTCTTTTTTACCATTTAACACTTGATCCTGGTTTTGAACTTCATATATTTGTAGTCCAGAACATTGAATGTAAGGCCATAGCAGATCATATTCTTGTAATAAGTATTCACCAAATGTTTCTTGTCCATGCCCTGCCAATCTTGAAACATCAGAGCTTAAAAATGTAAAGACAGACAACAGCCATGAAACAGTTCCCTGTTTCTTGTAATGTCAAGGATGCCAGCTGTTATGTTCTTTGACTTCAGGTGCAGCAGTGATATGATATTTTACAGTTGTTAAGATTGTTAAGGTAGACCAGTTAAAATTGATGCTGTTATCATTCTTCAGCCTCAGTGAAGAAATGATAAGGGCCTATGTTGTTTTCTGGGGATATGACACCATGCAGTTTGGTAGATAAGTACAGTCTTGTGACCTGCATCTTGAGGATTGGAGGGAGTGGGTTCTTCAAGAATGTTGGTAACCATATGCTACACTGCACACTTCATGCCCCAGAAGACACTATCTTAAGTCTTCCTGCTGTGAGAACATTAAATCTCTCATTGCATGAAATACTGATGCTGATCAGCTGAATTGTTTCTCTTACATTGTACACTGCCACCAGAAGTTACTGTGTACTGTTACAGAAAGCAGTCTGCTTTTTCTTGAACTAATATTCAGTCATATACAACATATTCCCTTTACCCCCATCCAAGAACTGGCCTTTCTTTTCCATTAGTTTTATAATACAATACTAAATTCAGTGAATAAAATGTATTACATATGTCACTATTGTAGTCAAATGCAGTAAGTATTTCATTTTGTGAACACAGTTTGGTGTTGCATTTGACATTGAAGGAAATATATGCACATGTTGGAAATGAAATAATGTTACTTGCAGAAAATGGAATAATAGTTGTGTCACATAACACTTTGTGCAAGAAATGGGAGGACAGTTGATTGCTAGAAACTAAGTAAGGAACAGAAATTTGTGAGAAAGCTCGGTACATTATGTTGCACTTCGTAAGAAAGAACGTAGAGACAATAAATATTCCCTTGGTAGCTGAGTTGGCTTAACATAAAATGAACTAAGTCAAGATGCGGAACTGCTTGGTTACTTGCTTTTAAGGGATGTCATGATGTGTATACATGGTTAATGTGAGCTTTGTGATTATTATTTAGTGGTGCTCACCACCATTTACATTGCACTGTGTAGACTCATAGAGTTAAACTAATATTTTATATAACTTGCATATCTAAAGCCTGTTGAAGTAAGTGATTTCAAGAACTGTACATATGTTTTATATATATGATAAATTAAGAATAATAATTTTGAGGCACATCTGAATTTCTGAAAAATATTTCAGACCAAGATTTCAAATGTCTGGTTTTCAAGGAAATTTTCAACTTTTATTGAAATATGTACTGAATTGAACTTTATTTTTCAATTATGTGCATGGTGTTTTAAAATGAATGTTTGGATATAGATGACATTTGGATGATGAGTTTAGCCAATTTGTTAATGCTTTATAGACTATGCTGTCCTTGGTAGGTATGTCAAGAATTACAGATTATCTTAAACTTTACGTGGAATGTAAATATAACAGGCATTTCCTTGTTATTTTCTTCACTGCACTTTTTCAGGAAGTGTATACTCCTATAGAAAACTGACTTATATTCTAAGATCCCTTGTTTCAGCCAACCTATATTTGTGAGTGCCCATATGTTTGCAAATTCTTATGTTTAGGGGCTTTCTAAACATATTTTGACCTGGTAACATGTTCCTTAAGTATTTTGTACTGAATAAGAGTTTCAGTGTACTTTAGTTATACAGTGCAGCAATACCTCACGTAGTCCGGGTAATCGGTTCTACCAATATCCCAGACTGTTTGAAACCGGACTAATTGAGGAACTAAATACATACAAAAAAATGATAATTGTTTAAAAAAAGCCCGTTTTTCAATAAATAAAACGCGATCAATAAATTCAAATGTCTTTATTAGAAATAATTTAAAAAATCATGTTTTTCGCAGTTCATTTTTATTCTCTAAAAACGGCAATATTGATGTCTGCACATTTTTCTTCTTTGGCCTTTTCTCTTCATACATTTGTTTGTAGCAACGAATTGCATTGTTTATCGTTCAGCGAATTGTAAGGCTACGTTCAGTATTGGGATCAACTTTCATAATATGCTCTGACAAGGTTTCAGCCATTCCAACAATATTTTATAGTTGTTCAGCTGTTAATTCTCATGCAGGCACTTCAACACAGTCATCGTTGTCTAAGTTGTCCTCTCGTTCTTCACATTGTTCCCATTGTTCATATATGTTAATAAGTGTCATTATCTAGTTCATTAGTGTTCGATTTGATGCACTCAATTATGTTGATGGAATCTAACTCATTGAAACCAAGTTGCTGCCCAATTTTCACTATGTTATTAGTGACTTCAGCAAAATGAGTTTCAAAACCAATTAAATCATTTGCACAATGTGGTGTGATATGTTTCCATACTGCCCTCATATTGCTTGCCGATAATTCATGCCACACGTCTCTGATGTAGCTCTTCCAAAATTCCGTTAAAGTAGTGCTCTACCCACCTCCTCCAGCGATAGATGTCAGAGCTCAAGAACAAACGACCCGAGCATAGGTACATACATATACAACGGGGAACCCCAGAAAAAATTGAAATATGTATTGTGTATCGCATAACTTTAAAACCGCATAAAAATAAACCACACAAAAAGAGACTTGACTGTATAATGGAAAAAACCGATCATTTATGTATTGAAAATAATTTTGTGTACTAATTTTTAGAATTTATTTTTATTTTGCTCAGTTAAAATTTAGTTTGTTTTGAAATTTTCAAACCGGACTGATTGAAGCCGGACTATGGGAGGTATTGCCGTATATAGAGTCAAACTTGGTTGTAGCAACCTCTGTTATGACACCTTGGCTGTAGCGTCTAATATCAAGTGATATTAATTAAATCTCTATAAACACATGCTTTTCTGCCTGAGAAAGACATACATAGAATATCCAGTTTGTTTATAATGACAGCTGGCACCCTGTTCACACCCCACTTTTTTTTTTTTTGCATGGATAGCAAGAAATTTAAGAATGTCTCATGCCTTGTGTGTGAATGACCCTTTTTGAACAATAGTGAGTGACCTCGAGTATTCTGATGCATCAGTGTCCTCAGAAAATATAAATTTAATGTACAATAAATATGTACATATAATTAAACTTAACATTTTTCTACATTCTGTAAGATCGAGTTTACATTGAAAGTGAATTGTAGAGCTGTACAAAATGATCCTACATTCTTCTTGAAATCTATTTAGTCTCTTCATCGGTCAGTATGATGCTCTTTTATAACAATATAATTTCCCCACTCCCTTGGATGGTGATGTAACCAAGTTCGACTGTTATTTCTCAAACCATTCCGTGAAGAAAATAAACGTGTTTTTGGACATTGCAGCTGGGAAAAGGTGGCTCTAGGCATGTCCTCATGAGAGTCTGGCAGCAGTTATTCAGGGTGATTTTCAGTAATCCAGTGTTAGGGATGTTAACAATGTCGTGTATTGTAATGCATCTTGCTACAAAAAGTTCTGAAACTGAGTACTTCAATAAACCTCTGTGCCTAACCAAGATGGCGGCAGAAAAACCTGTTAATACATTTTGTATCTCTTAACATTTGCATGAATTGCTTGTAATATAAATATAAGAAATGGCCAAATGGTATCATGACATGAGTCATAAAGATTTCTGAGAGTTGTATATTAATATTTGGGATTGCTGGGTTTTGGAACTAGATAAAGTCCAGAAATTCCGTAATCATAAGTGTGTTTGACATGCCTAGCAAAATGTATATTGTCAGTTCATCTACAAAGGGTTTGCCAAGGTTTTTACATTCCTTGCCAGTATAGATTGTACTTCAGTATTTTGACATTTAAGTTAAACCACATGGCCGACATGTGAATAATGGCGCAAGTGAACTTTATTTTCCCTTGGAATGCACTGTTAGTGGGAGTAAATTCTTTCAAGATTTTATACCTTTTCTTTTTTTTGTTGGTGCTAGAAATCATGCACAAACTGGGCATCACACTTGTGTGGGTGGAACTCCTGCTCTAAGTTTGCGAAGTCTTGAATTCAAATTCTGTCTCTATGGTGACACAGTTTTAATAATTTTCCTTGGTCAGACCAAGGATATGACTGGTTTCAAATCCTTTCCAATTCATTAATCACCAATCATCTGTTCACTCAACACTGTATAATCCTAACTACTAACATCATTATTAAAAGTAAACCATAAATGAAAAAAAAAGTGAATTTGTGAACTTTGTATTAACCACAGATACATTCTATAACAACAAATTTCTTTGAATGTTTCTGGTAATTAGGAACTTTTTCAGTTTTAAATCTTCCAGGAGCCTGCTTTTTTTTGGTCCTGATATCCTGAAAGCTGTTTGCATCAAGGGCAGTGATATCTAGGCGACTGGAATTGTGGCTGGTCTGGTTGATGATCAGCAACATTTCAGAGAAACTTGCTTCCTGCATCTACATGGCACTTCTAACCTGAGGATGGATGCAGTGGGTGCCTGTGAAATATTGTCTGTGTCTGAAACTATGTCATATCCCACAAGATGGTGTTCTCGATGTTCTTCGTAAGCACCACTGTGAGAACATCAAATCTCAAATAATAACAAGTTTTTCTTTTGTTAATCCCTTGTTTGTGGTCTTCTCTAAAAGGTCAGTAGATGTTTAAAAGTTTTTCACACTTCACAGTGGCCCGCAATTTTATGTGGTTTTGAGCCATTTCAGTTTACATTGCTCACAACTTGGTTCATTGTAATAAAGTGGTCTCATTCCATAGGTTAGCCAACAGCAATATAACTTTGGTATACTGCTTCCTCTTCCTGGCAAGGCAAATGGACCCATGGGACAGCAAACTGCAAGTGGTGAAACTATTAGTTAAGATGTGTCAGGAGGGAGATCATGCCTTCAGATTGGCCCCACATATGTATCAAGGAAGCCTGTTCTTTGGTGCTATGGCACTTGTGGTTTGCCCCTCACTGTCCTACAAACCATGGTGGGATTCCCACATTGTGACAGAAAACATCTTACATTTAATCTTCATGGCATGCAGCATAACATCCATGGACATGAGTACTGTGGCTAGGTCAAATTCTGGTATTCAACAGTATAAGGGCAGTTCAGTATATTTAACTAGCAGAATATACAATTATAATAGGACCTCAATAAAATAAAATATGATAGACTTGGTCCTGTGTTAAAATTTACAATTTAACCACTAGTCTCTCGATGATTTATTTAAACCGTCTTGCAGTGCATACACTCATCTATCTCCTCTCACATGAGTGAGAGAAGGAGATAGATGAGTGTATGCACTGCAAGACGGTTTAAATAAATCATGGACTTAAATCAGTGCAACAGGACGCTAAAATATAACACTAGTGTCTCATTTGGTTTAGTTTATGATGTCAGCTATAACATTGAATGTTAGGACAGTTGATGGATGAGGAATGAGTAGGGGTGATCTGATGGAAATGTAATTCTGCCATTTGCCTGGAGAGACAGAAACATGAAAAGTTCAGTTGAGTACTTCCTGAATAAAAGTATAATGACATCAGCCTGCTTGCTGCCAGTCCATCTTGTCAGTCCCATTCAGAGTCTGTAGGCACAAATAACCATTGGCCCTGATGCAGTCTGTTAATTTCAAACATGTTCGTCAACAAAATAATGTGACTGATTGTGATGTATATGTAATGTCATCACCAAGACAGGACTATGAAATAAATAATAATATATGCCTTAAAAGTATATTGTTTTCCAGCACCCTACCCCTCATGTTGTATAGAATGTAAGCTTCGTTAAGTTTTAACCTGTTCATTAAGACTTTCAGATCCTCAGTGATGGATACAGTGTTAATGAAATGTTGATAGTCTGTTATACATTCTCTCCAGACATTGCTTTAAGTAGTGAGGCAGAACTGTTTAAGTTATTCAGAAAAAACAGCAGAGTTTTGCCTATGTATGAAGAGTTGAATTGCCATTTATTATGACAAATCTCTAAACTGTTCATTCAGAGCATATTATTCACATTCCTGTTCAGTAAGGAACAGCTTTCACTGAAATTAGGTAGTCTTTAATAATTATGATTCCTATATTTAAATTTCAAACTCCTGTTGATTTCTTATAAATAAGATAGGAGTAAAAATCAATCCCCTCCAACGAATGTTCAGTTGGCAGTTCTGACACACAGCCAGGGAAATAAATTTGAATTATACAGTTTTGCCTCATCACTAAGGTGCATGATAAAAATTAGCTAATAGCGATAATATATTAGAACATCCTGTTGCATTGATGTACAACTCAATCATTCACCTCTGTCTTTAATGCAACTTAAAACTGTTCACAATCTCTTAATTTAAAATAACCTCACCTCAATTGCTTCATGTTTCGGCCATCTTCAGGCAGTTGTTCACTGTTTTGAAAACCGTTGCACTGCACTAGATCTTTTTAAATGTTTCTTATCATTCGGCCATGACAAAGCCTAATTTTCATAAAACCTATTCAGTAATTAGTTTTTTCGAAATTTCCTTCTAGCAGGGCTGCGAATGAGAGTGGACGGAAACAGATAAC